CCTCCTCTGCCCAGGCTGCCGCCGGCGCGCCGGAGCCACTCCGCCAACCGCTCCGCCAAGCCCGTACAGCAGCCCTTCGGTTCTACTGAACCGAAGGGCTCAGGTAGCCGAAGGAGCAGCCGGAGCTATAGCTGATCCTTCAGCTAGCTTTGTGAATAACCCCTTAGTTATGCTTAAAGTGACACTAAGCACAGGAATTAAACCTTAAGAATACATTCAAGTACCTTAACTAATAACAGAAATATAGCTGATCACTTGGCTGTAGATCCTCAAATCATCTCTGAATTGGTGCTGACACTGTCCTTCCTTTTGGAGGGTGGCTACTTTTGTTCCCAATGGTCACCGTGTGTTGTAAAGTAGCCACAGCTCCAAGCTCACTCCTGTGATGGACTACAATCTCACCTTTAATTTACTACTTTGTATTGAGATTGTAGTCTATCACTTAGTCTCCGTTCACTCCCTGGCAGCAGCCTTTTTTTGTGCATACTGTATTAACGCACATTTTGTCTACCGTTTTGTCTAACATGTTTAGGCGTTTTTGTGCAGTTTGCAAATTTTTACGTGTGTTTGACACCTGCACATGAGGACGCGCATTAGAGGGCCAGTTCAAACCATCTCCAGATCCCTGCGTTCAGGGGCAGGAGGAAGCGTGGCGTTCGCCGGCACCAGAATGTGTGCCACAACAATGCTTACGTTCCAGTCCAGAACGATTGCAAAAAATGGTGCTATTATTACAAACACACTGGATTTCTATCAGGATTAATTGGTATTTTTATGTACTTGGAAATAATGTGTTGTACTGAAAATAAGAAAACGAATGCAGTCACCACATCTAAGGACTGGTAAATTGCTATGGGGTCTATTCACGAAGCAGCTGAAGGATCTAGCCGTAGCTTTGGCTGATCCTTCAGCTAGCTTCGGCCCCAGGACCCCTTCGGTTCAGTAGAACCGAAGGGCTGCTGTACGGGCTATTCACTATAGCCTGTACAGCACCCGAAGTCGGCCGGGCGGCTCAGTCGAGCCGAAGGCATATGCTTCGTCTCGACTGGGGCGAGGTGAAAGCCGAAGCCGGCCGAGGGGGCCGGCTATTGGACGGCCGACAGCCTGCTTCTGACAGCTGGGCGGAGCCAGCCCTGATGTTACAGTTGGCTCTGGTCACTTGCAGAGAGATCAGCGTCCCTGGTTACCAGCTAACCAGGGACACCGATCTCCAGACAGCCTAACTCTCCCGGGCGCTCCGGGAGTCTCCCGCTCCAGGCCGCCCAGGAGAGAAACACTGCTTTTTCTTTTTTATTCTGACACAGTGCCATTGGCTGGCGTCAGAATAAAAAAATAAACATTTTGACCATAGGAATGCCTTGCTAGATTCCTATTGGCTATTTCAATTTGCAATAGCAAACAAGCTATAGCACCCGCCCACTGCTGCAGTTCTCCATCAGGTCCCCACTAGTGGTTGACAGCAGCAGAGGGCGGGTGCAATAGCTGGTTTGCTATTGGCTATTGCAAATTGAAATAGCCAATAGGAATCTAGCAATGCATTCCTATGGCTAAAATGTTTCGGTTTTTTTAACGGCAGCAGAACCGCCGGCTCCGCACAATCGTTTTCTATTTTTTTTGTTGTACTTTTTAAACTATTTTTCTGTTCTGCTCGGTCCCACGGAGGGACCGAGTAGAACAGCCGAGCCGAATGCCGCTCAGCATGCCGCTCAGCATCTACAAGAATAGACCGAACAGCAGCGAGTAGCCTGCCGGAGGTTTGGCTTAGCCGATCCAGATGTTGGACAATGGAGACGTGTATTTCATTTCTTACATTGATAATAACAGCAGAAAATGACCTGTTTTGGTTTCTTCTATTTATAGAAGTCGAGGTTAAGCAGAAGCCTTTAATAGCTTCTCATGGCATAGCTGTTTAGATCCCTAAATATAACCTAATTACAATGTGCTCACAGTCTCTGAGAGGACTGCTAGTATGTAGATTAGTTGATCGGCTAACCCAGACATTGATTATGAGCATTTCCAGATCATTGTCCTGTATTAGGAGGTGAACAATGCATGCCCTACCCCCACCAATACCAGCTGGGACATGCTGAGGAGGAGAAATGGCCATACACAGCCTTTAATGTTAGTTCTACCCATGACTATGACTATTAGAAATCTGTGTACCATACAGCTACGTTTTCATACAAACATTTGTTTTTCTGAAGTTTAATTAGGTGTTATATTAATATTCTGGCAATGTAAATACAAACAGTGCTTGGCACAGATTGTCTTAAAGGGGAACTAACATGTTTTTATTAAATGCTGATTGCCATTTGTGTGACAGAAGGTACTCTGTGTGTCTTCTTCTGTAATAAATGCTTCTCCCTGCCTGCCAGCATTTAGTTTTTTTACACATGCAGCTCAGTGTACAATCTCAGCACAATTGTGTGTAGGGCCAAATAAAAGAGATATTGAAGTCAAAAAGTTTCTTTGCTATTTGTAATGCAGATGGCAGTTCTTGCAGCCCATGATGTTTGTAGATGTTCAAAAGTTCTCTTTTCCTGCTGAATCCTATAGTCCCATTAAACAGCAACCCTGGTTTCCGGCGTTGGGTTGGCTTTCTTCCCTTGCTGGGTCACCTGGTGTCCTGCTAGATCCACCCTTGCATACACGTTCACCAAAAATTTGGTTAGTTTAGTTTCAGATTTTTCGGGATTCGTGTCTGAAAGTCAATTCGGTTCAGGATTCGGATTCGTACGAATCTG